GCAGATTATGCCCACATTTGAGAATCACAATCAAATAAAAACGCGTATCTATATTTCCTAAAAATACAATCCACGTAACATTGGAGCCCCTTTTAGACAGGCGCTTTTTTCCATTTATCTGACAACATCTCAACATGTCAGCTTTAGCAACTTTTCAGTAAAAGTCGTGACAACTATCCTAGCAGGTAGCATTTATGCTTCATTTCTTACAAGCTTGAACTACAGTCAGTCACAAAAACCGATAACAGACAATAATAGGAGCCAATATTGAGCTGTGTGACTCCACTTTTTACACATTTCAACACCAATATTGGTCCAAAAATACAAAGTTTGTATCCCAAATCATTGTTCTGCAACTTCACATGCATTACAAACTGAGATGTTCATAAAAAACAAAAAGAAGCTTAACTGTGTCAAAGACAGACTTTGGAACAGGTCGAATTAACAAGGTTCCTCAATAATGAATGTACTCCAGGTTTTGACATGTTTTCCATCATGAAAACACATTTGAAGTTGTATCGTTATCATTACACACAATTTTTAAACTAGGCTATTAGTTTTTTGGACAGTTTGATAAGCTTGCAATTGCTAGTACTCATCCGTCTTTTTGTGCATTCTTACACATTATACATCACTTGATGAATGTCCAATCTCACACGTATGACAAATGACAAAATGCCGTCGCTTCAACAGATTGATGAAGCCAACAATGGTACACATCCCATGTCTGTAGAGGGCTTAAGATGCAGCCTACGTGTCTTCCTCTGAGCTGAGCTTAACGATTTTCACAAGAAATATTCGGCTCTTCCTGAAAGCTGCTCAGCTGCGAGCTCAGCTGTACTCCTGATCCAGCAAGTCTTGTAGAGCATTTGCATCTTTAATGCTTTATGTTCAAGCAATCTCTGTCATAAATATGAATTTATTATAAACTGTGTGCACGCAGCACATGCATATACTTGCGTGTATGTGCGAGTGCATACCTCGTGGATGGATTTGAAGAGGCTCCAGTCCAGGTGTGTGAGAGCAGCTGCAACATCCCAGGTGTTGATGCCTAAAAGTCGAACCGGCCTTCTGCTTAGCTCAGCACTGTCTGTTAAAGGAGGCTGCACGTGCAAACACGTGAAAGAAAGTTAATGTAGTGCACAGAATGACAGTGTACACAAACAATCCAGCCTATACACCGATACTGTCTGCGTATGGGGATAGGGCTCTCTCTAAATAAGCAAAACAATACCTCACCTTCGCTATAGACTACAGGATAATGAGGCCAGCGGGGATTTAAACACAACACATCAGTAAAAAGAAACAATACTGCATAGAGCCATTAGATCGAGTGCTTCCTGCCTGTATACAAGCAGGACTGAAAGCTGGGAAGTGATTTTTACAATATTCCTATAATTGTTCCATCCCACTCTAGATACAGGTTACTATATCAACTACAACTCTGCATTTCTGTGTGTGTCAACTGAAGTTAGGTCAGCAGACAAAAAACAGATATTAACATAACATTCATACCAGCCTGCTTCTTAGACAACAGATATATTAAAATGGTCTCACAAGGAGGATTTACTGATTTGCTCGATATTTCAAATCCAGAAAGAATCTAGAACCCCTAAAACTGCCTTTTCTAAAACGCCCAATAGTGCAGTGTTATTTAAGGATTCACAACTGAAGCTCCGCTGTGAAAAACATGCCATTACACAACCACACTTTGCCCTGATACAGCACTTTCCAATCCTGTCGTCACAGATGAGCAACAGCACAATAATTGTGGCTCGCACCTTCTCTCTCCTATTGAGTCAGAGTTAATGACAATCACCTGGCCTGAGTCTGTCCAGCTCGCTTATGATGCATGACACACCATAAGACTGTGGAAATATGTTTGTTGGGGAATTAGAATATTCATTTTAATGCCTGTCTGAGAAGATTCTTAGTCATCTAGGGTGTTTCAGTACCTTTTCATGACGATTTACCCCCAAAAACAGTACAGAAGCTACCATCAGTGGGATCAAATGTCTAAATAAAAAACTTTACGAGATTGTGATTAACTTTGGACTTGCAAGATGCAGCTTTAGCTTCTGTCAGTGCTCGTGAAAAACTGGGGGATGGCAGACGCACAAGTGGAACGGGGCATTTACATACCAAGATCTCAGTGAGATCCCTGCGACAGGCCACAAGCTTTCCCTGTGGGGTCAGAGACTCCGAATATACACAGTCACTGGGCTGCAACACCCTCCGCTCTGCAGAGACAAACAAAGCAGAGAGAAGGCGACAGAGCTGATGATGATAATTTAGAGCCAAGAGTGTAGAGCAGTGGTTTCCAGCCAGCAGGGACTGGGTTGTACTTCTGCAGTTGCCAAGGGGTACGTAGAAGGCTTGAGTCGTAGCTCACAGGATACTTTACATGAAGGCACACATATTCACCATTAACTTGTTGCTTAGTAGTATTCATATTAGTACCTTGTAGGCTCTTCATTTGTCTTTATATAGCACTTACTAATCAGCATGACTATATTCAACAATTATTCTACTGTCATGTAGTTGTGGAATATGGCCATGCAGAAAAATGCATTAATCAATGCTTTACAATGACAAATAAATTGTCAATATGCTACTAACATGCATGCTATTTAGCAGCTAGTTAGTGTACCTTAATATAAAGAGTTTTAATTTAAAAATCTTCTGATGTTGCTTGAAAATTACTAAGTACACAAAGAAGTCTCCACAGTTGTGGGTAAATAGTTAAAAGAGACAACTCTATAATAATGCAATAAATCCTAAGCTAAACATTATGAATAAACAGCTGAAAGTTTAGCATTTGCTAAAAGTAATGAATAAACTGTTGACATTTGCATAAAGTAAAGATACATGGTTAAATAGTTAGCTGAGGTACGAATGCAAACCTGACCAAACTAACCTAGCCTACAAAACATTGTTACAATACCAACTTTTATGCCATTATTTCTTTGAAATGGCATCTAGTTTCTACTCCTTTCACACACATATAAAACAGGAGAATGACAGGTATTGATGACAAAGTACTTGATTTTATGTGACAGAAAAAACATTGCGGAAACATTGCTCATAACACTGTTTTGCCCACATGCACTTCTTTATGTGTTTGTACCTCCAGTGTGCGACACCACAGCGAGCACCATGTCTTCCTCTGCTTTGTCCATCTTCAGACCCACAATCCGCAGAAGCTCGTGGGCCTCCAGCGAGGGGTGCGTGTGCACACTTAGGTAGGAGTCGGCACTCACGTACACGCAACAAATAACTGAAAAATACACAGAAAGTGTTCCCAGTAAATAACGAAAACCAAACACTGAAATATCGTAAAATCAGAATGAAATAAATGCAGAAAAAAACTCTCTAAAAAAAGAGACTTGAGTTAATTTCTGTCAAGTACTTGAGCAGAGAAAAAATACTGAATACACTGTATTTAAAAAATTTGCATGTGCACAGACTGTCATTATGCATAATTGCATACAGTTTTGGGCAGTGTGTTGTGTGCAGTAAATGTGTGTGCGTGAATCTGTGTCTGTTACTCACCCTCTCTAGTCTCGTTCGGTGGAGTGCGGAGTTGTAAACAGTTTTCTTTCAAACTTAGCTGCTGATACATTTGTTTACTCTGACAGGGGGGAAGCAGAAGAAATATGAGGACTTGAAATACTTTACTTACACTGCACCAGATATTGTTAGGTACTGATATCTGTAGCAGCATCTATGGTAGTGTATGAATTTGAAAAGTTAGCATCTTATTTTTAGCTTCTTGCATGATTAAATGTAGTTAAGGCACTTATTCGGTGCACTTCTAGTACTTCAAATGATATTAAATTTACACCTTACAGAAAGAAAGTAAATGCTCTTTCACACGTACCTTTTGGTTTGGAGGGCAGTCATCCACTGTGCTACAAAAAAAGAAGCACACATAGCAGTGATGAGGGATGTAGGTGAATGAAATATAAAAAACACAGCAAGAGGTAGTTTTTCGTACATCTAATTGTAACCGCATGCAACAAAGTCTTCATGTAGAGACACTTGCACTTACTGTCTGCGACGCAGTAGTTTCTGAAACTCCTTCAGGTCTTTTTCCAGTGTGGGAAATTCATACAGATCTTCTAAAACACACCTGTATAGCGTCTGACAGAGAGAGACAGAAACGATGATTAACATCCACAGCTCGTATTAAATACTTTAAGCATTAGCTTGACCCGTCGCAAAAGGCGGTCACTGGCAGCTGAAACAGCACCGCACTGCTAACCTCATTTTACTGCGTGGCAGCCATGATACCAAGTCCCAGCTTACAGTGTCAGCAACATTTCACTTTCACAGGTATACAAAGACCTCAGTACAACATATAACCTCCAGGCTCTGCCTCTTGGACACTGAGTGCATACCAAGCAGCTGGTTCACTTACTGCTCGCCACAGTGATCAACACACTGCTGTGAATCAGAACACAAACACCGACAACCACATATCAGAAATACATACCAATCGCTTTGTCAAAGCACCTGATCTATTGATTCAATTAACATCAACTAATTAAAGGAGCGCCGCACTTCAACATTTTAATGAACGGTTTCTGCTTTCTATTAACATTTTTGCCATTTTTAGGAGAGAAAAAAAAAAAGGGAAGAAAGACGAGAGAAAAAGATAACTCACAAACAACATGATGCACAAACATTACATTCTGTGCAGCTAATTTACTGAGCACCATCCAGTGCACATCATGCTGCGTAGGTAGATTACATAAAGAAAACATCAGACATGTTGTGTACTTTGTACTTAAACGGGTGACTAGGCATGCTCTGTAGCGTCTGAGTGCGTGTGGCAGAGAATTAGTAACTAGGATGAAAACTCAGGAGGCAGCAACACTGAGGACCTGCAAGGATCCACATGCACACAGACACACACACGTCTCCACACACACCTCCTTATCGCTGTCATTGACCCACCATAGCCTCCAATCCCAATTCCCCTCTCGTTCCTCTGTTACTAGGCAACTATCACCTGGGTTACGCACTCCATATGAGATTATACCCATGCCAACCCTACCACTTTGGTTGCCGTGGCAACCCGGCACCGAGCAATGGAGCTGTCAGGTTACGGAAGGACAAGTGATTGGTGAGTGCGTGCGCGCCTGTGAGCGTGCGGATGTGCACACGTGCGATTGCGTTGTGTGTTTGTGTGCACGTGTCCGTTTCTCTTTTGGTGTCACAGTTGTCACGGGCGTCCCAATCCGATTCCGGCTACCATGTGAGAATAGCAGGAACGCAGCGGTTAGCGGCAGCATTTGAGGTGAAAAATGTGACAGTTATACGACACTTAGAATCTGTATGTGTGTGTTTTCGATTACCACCATTTCAACCTGCAGCTCATTAAATACAGCAATCCCCCTGGTTATTCTTTATTATTCTGTGAAATAGAACCATACAGCCACATATTCTGATTATACCCACTCGTTCCTCATATGATACACTGTGAAAGCGCCAGCATTTTTTCTGTTTCTCTGTCAGAAGCAGAGGATAAAAACATCAACGAGGTTCCCCTGAGGGAGAAAGCTGAACCACGATTCAGTTTAACATGGGATGCGGCAAATAGAAAGCTCAGAGATGAAACACATACACACACTTTTTTGCTTCTTGTCTTTCTCTACAAAACGCTTGATGTCCTGGCATGTAGAACTCAAGGAGGACAACCCCATTTTAGAACAAGACAGAGAGACAAATGAAGATGAATGAGTCCTCTGATGATCTTCAGTGATACATGTGGAAGGACACCAGAGGATCAAACTCATTACATTACTGAACTACAAGACGGTGAGAGAGAGAGTAGGGATTAAAACGATGAGAAGCAGTGAGGAAGGCCAGCACTGTCATACCTTCATGAAGCTCCTAACGTGCTCCTCTTCCTTGAGGAAGTCCTTGTATAGCCTGCTCCAGTGGGAGACCAGCTGCAGTACTTTACGTTTCCTGAAGAGGGCGTCTTTGCCCTCCTCCTGGCCCCTGCAGCGGGCGCTGCTATAGGTGACTGTGGTCAAGGATACAACAGAGGGGGAGTGTGGAGCCTGAAAGGATGTGTGTGTGTTTGAGTGCATGTGCGGGTTTGCCAGAAAGGATATTGTCCCAGTAGAGCCTGACAAAGGTCATTAGTGGACATGAACACCAGGTAGGTCAACAAGAAGTCATCCAGCAGCATCTCTGAAACATAAAAAAAAACATCAAGAGTCAGGCAAAATGTTCTACTTTTTCTCTTTATTTGTGAAATTAAAATTTGGAAATTCTTTTAGTTACTCCCTTTGTCCTTCAATCCACACTAGATTTCCTCAGATAACTGTCCCCAACTCGACACACTCGACACCCAACAGTGCATTTCAGGGTCATTCAGCTCACTAGTTTGATTTTATCGGTTGCAAATTTATTGTTTGTCTCTTGTGGCATTATTTTCAGGCAGCTGTAAAAGTTCTGTAAAAAGCTGTAAAAATCTCAGCAATAAAAGTTCTAAAACTCCCTCAGTACACTACCTGCTCAGAAACAAACAGCAAACAGGCAAACTGAGGGACTAGATGATAAACATAGTGGAATATTTAGCAGCTAAGAGCATTCTTCAGGAGTTGGCAGAGAGCAAAAACAAGAACTTAAACTAAATCAAATATTGGCCTTGCTTCATTAGGTGGCCAGTATTAAAATAAAAATGTCTGTTGGATGTGCACAGAGCAAACTATTATGACACCAATGCATTCACCATCTGAACTTAAAACTTTGGAGAGTTTGGGATCTCTATAAAAAGTCAAAGCAAAGTTCAATGAGTTCAGTTGCAAAGTGTAAGTTTGAAGTCACAGAGGTTTAAGGTTAAAGATCGCCTGCTTATATTGTTAGTTGCTATCAATCAAATATTTTCCAACTACACCCACATAGTCCTGATAAAGCAAATTATCTTGAGTGTTAAGATTTTTAAAATATATATTCTGAAAGATTATTATTATGGCTTATTTTTTCAAGAATAATGAGAGAAATCAAGAAAGTTTTTAGGTGCTTTTAAGAAAAACTGAAACAAATATTTATATCACAAAGAGGGCTACAACTGCATCTCGTCCATGTTCTGAACAACTTAAAAAAAACGTACATTTATAGTAAAGCAAGCTAATGTGCGAATGAAAGGTGAGAGTTTGTGAGTATGAGTTTGTGAGTATGCGTGAGACTCAGCAGGTGATCAGTGGTAAGAACCAAACAGAAACAGCCCTTGTGGCAGATGGGTAATGAGCCATTGTTGGTGGTGTGAGGGAGCTGTGGTGTGTGTTTGTGGTGTCAAACTCTTTCCCTGGGAAAATGTGTGACCCAAATATGGCTCTGTCAGGCAGAGAGCAAAGAAATCAATTATAGAAGACTGAGCATAGGCCGTGGCATTAATATTTGATCAACTGTCTTCTCTTTAAAAATAAAAACACAACTTTAGCGGGAAATATTTTTAGGCAGGTTCGACTGAGCGTATCACTTTTTCAAAACCTTGTTGACTCACTTTCCTGTCATTTTCTCGTTTTTTTGAGGCCTTTTCTCGTCAATCAGGAGACATACAGTTCTTTCTTGACCTGCTATCGGCCTTTTTTTTTTTTTCCCTTCTTTCCACTTCCCTCTCTCACTCTCTCCATCCTAAACTACCCTCATCCACCTCCCCTTCCCTACACCCCCGTTTTTCATTTTCTTCTTCTTGGCGATTACATTTCCCCCCCGCTACTTCTCTCCTCCTACGCTCACCCTCTCTCAGCTCTCTGTGATGATAAATATCCATTTTCATCTTCAACATATGCCCTCTGCGTTTGCCCGCTGGCACACACAAAGTCAAACACATACACTCACAGACACCGCAGTACACACACACACACCCAAACACACACAGCACCCTGATGAATAACTCATTCAGTTCTGACCTTGGGGACTTTATCTCTTGTGAGAAAGACAGGAAGAAGAAAAAAAAGACGAGGGAAAATGTGTGTGTGCTGAACTAATCGCGGTAATCTGCTGCTGTCTTTTTTGTTGTGTGTGTGTGTGTGTGTCTTTATGTGTACGTGGAGAGGGGTGGTTGGGGTAATCGCTCTCCCTCCACGGAAGCGTGTTTGAGCCTGTTCAACATGCTGCACAGCTAAGCCCGCTAAAACGACACACTGATGCTCAGCACCACCCCAGAGGGTACACAAACACACATGCGCATATGTGCACACACACATGCAACACAAATGTGCATGCTTATACGGGGCAAATAAAGCAAAAGCCAAAAGATAGAGACAAACATAGATGCAGAGACAGAGATATCCAAACATAAACTCTGCATCCCTACTTCTGCCTCCTGTCTTTTCTCTTTTCAGTGAATAAATATCAGGCAGACCTCCTCCACAAAGACCATCTTAGTTCTCTCTCGCTCCTTCTCTCTCTCTCTCCCACATTTATCTCTCCCTCTTTCTTCATTTGCTTCCTGCAATTCAGTGAGATGGCTCCCTGTGGACTGCTGGGAACTGGTGGTGCTGAGGAGTTGATGCATAAAGGCGCCTTGTCTTGAAACTGTGCTAAGAGGCAATAGAACAGTTTTATAAAATCCAAGTTGGGAAGCAGATGTTCCTGTGCGATAAAAGTATTATTTTAGTGGACCTACGCTCTGAGATGAATTTAAGTCAAGAAGAAGTCAAGAGCCATGGACTGTGACAACAAATTAGCTTGTATTTTTACAAAATGCATTTTCTTTCAATCTGTGCAGGAGGGCTTTTGTCAAATTCATATTTTAAGATAAAAGAGGCACCCACCATAGTCGATATTATAACCTCAGTCACCTCACATTCACATAATGTAAACAATGCAGCTGAAACAACTGTTGATTAACAGCAGTTGTAATGATTATTTAATCATTAATCATTGACTCATTGTTCCGACCAAGAAACATATTTACGCAGGCCAAGTTGTCAATACTTTTTAGCGCTTTGTAACATTAAACGCACAAGACAATTAACTGATTACGCTCCACTACTTTCAGTGTGGTCCATGTGTTCACTGCGCTGCCATTAAACAAATGACAAAATGATTCCCGAGGTAAAGCTGTATAGTGCTGCTGTAATCGCTTCATGATCAAAGAACACAGTGCCTGTAAGGTAGACCTGAGGATTGTGAAAATGAGATTTGACAGTTAGCAGCCCACTAAAGTTGTTTACAACAGGAATGCCTACAGCTCCCTGAGGCAATCATTTTACAAACTCATTAGAGCATTTAACCTCTCCTCATATTTACAGCCAATGACATGGCTGAAGGAATGCACAGACACACACACACACCTGGATGTGGTGAGAGGGCTGACTCATGCAGCCAAACACTCATGCACACACACACACAGCATCACAGAGAGGAAGTGCATACCACCTGGGATTTGAACCCACTTCAACAGAAAGAGGTCCAGCCTGTGCAGTGTTGGAACTTGTTGTGCGGCATTTGCAAAGTGATTTCTTAGAAGGAGGAGTGGCGCTCAGTTTAAAGAATACTATTGGTTGAAGAGCTAAGACAAACACTTCAGGCAGTTTATTTATATGATTGTTGTTTGTACATGTAAAAAATTGGAATTTAAAATATTCTAATCCTACCCATCTACGTTTCTTTTGGTTAATGGAGACACAGCCACATTGTGTGTTCGGATGCCCTCACACAGATCTGTGCACAAAGCCATGAAACACGTGTGTTCACATGTGTGCGTCTCCAAACTCACCGCTCTCCCTGTTCTCCGGTGCCCCTCTTTGGTCATCCAGCCGCAGGTCACTTAGCAGGTGCTCCAAGATCTTCAGCGGCGTTCCCGACACCACCACATACCTGTAAGAGGAAGAGTCACAGCAATCTTCCTCACTAGAGAACCAAGTACGGCCGGTTGCATTCCTCCATCCTGTCTCCCTCTGGTCCTCTATAGTCTCCTCCGCATCATCGTCATCGATGTAGCGAAAATGGGGAACATCGAATGTAGAGATTTCCGTGTTGCTACCGTCTCCATCATGACTGCTACTCTCATCATCGTCATCGTCACTATCATCATCTATGTCCTCCTCCGCCTCTGCAAGTGTAGCGAGCTCAGAGGTCATCTTCATATCTAAACACTTTCTAACAATAAGTCCTCTTCTCAGCTTTACATACCCAGGAAGGGTGCTCTACCGTGGGGCAAACTGTCTTGCCGTCTGCCCGTGTCAGCTAAGAGCGCCAGAGTTTCAACCCTCTGACTGGCGGCTACTACAGTAGCACTGGGAGGCTGTATACACACATACCCACACCCACTTAACCTGCCTGTCACTGACACTCCCTGCTCTGCGCCTTAGGTCTTGGCACACACTGACTTAAATATTGCACAAAGAAATTGCCTTGGAAGAAACGCACTTGTAAAGAAGGCACACATAAACACACATGTATGATACTAAACACATAGGCTGATGTGTGGAAGGAAGTCATCCGGTCTCGGTGCGATCTTTGTTCCCTTTCAGCTGAAAACAAAAAGCCATTCTCTCTTTGCTGCTGTCTGCCAGAAGCTAAAGCATACATTATCTTAGACACACACACACACACACACAGTGTCAGCAGCACTACTGATATTTAGCAAGTGCATGCAAGAGCATGTGGTTGTAACTTGAGATGTCAAAGTGAAAACTGAAAAAGAGAGGGAGGAGTACTGTGATTATGCTTTTGTTGCTACTGTTAGTTTAGAGGCCCCTTATTATGTAGGAGGTACTGACCTCTTGTCGCAATCCTCCTCTCTGGACCCGCCTCCCGACGATGTGGGTGAGGGCCGGTCCGACGGCGACGTCACAGATGATGTCACTCTCTGCAACACCAATACGTCCCGTCCTCTCTCCTTCAGACAAACCCGCCCCACCGCCTCCTGAACGGCAAAAAAAGAAAAGGAAAAAAAAAACAGAGACATGTCACAAAGTGAAGCAAGGACAAAACTGTAGGACGGCGATTAAAGCAGTGAAGAGCTTTTTCAGCAGTAAAAGATTTCAGCCACAGCAGGAAACAAAACACAAATATGATGCATCACATGTGACTGCTGTTTTTCTCCTCTAATTCTGGTTTATTTGTACAATCTTCGTGTCAAGATTGTTTAGAATTTGATCATGTAGTATCTGATTCACCATTCATATACACATTATGGGTCTATTTTATCTGTGTCACATAAATAACAAGAATTTATCGTACAGAAAAGCCAAGTATATGTTTAAAGTAATTTATGGACTGTCGCTGTAACATTTTCTGTCCACCGGAGAGCACTGAAAAGTTCACATTACATCTTTAAATTGTGTCACTCAACACATGATTAGCATAAACTCACCGGCCTAGGTACATCTTGCTAGCACAAGGTTGGACCCTTTTCTTGCCAGTGACTGTATACAGCAGGGGTGGGCAATCCTGGTCCTCGAGGGCCACAATCCTGCATGTTTTAGATGTTTCCCTCTTCCAACACACCTGATTCAAATGATCAGGATCGTTATCCGGCTTCTGCAGAGCTTGATGATGAGCTGATCATTTGAATCAGTGTGTTGGAAGAGAGAAACATCTAAGACATGCAGGATTGTGGCCCTCAAGGACCAGGATTGCCCACCCCTGCTGTATACTGTATATGGCTACACATGTTTATTCACTAATTTTGAGGAAGCACAAAGATTTTTTTAAATGTAGAATTTATTAAATGTAAAAAAAAAACCCAAAACACTCAAACCAAATATTTGCTGATGTATCACCATCAGATTTTTTTACTCTCAAACACTGGTGTCGCTTTTGGCCTCAGAAATCCAGCATCTCTCAGGCTTTGGTATCCTGATTCTTCCATTTAAGGGTAAATGTTTCTTCAACCCATGAGGCAAACACACCAATCCACACATGCACACACAGATTCTGTTGGCACCATCAAAGGGAAGTATTGCATTTCCTGCCTTTACAAGGAGCGGCATTGTGTAATCAATGACAACGAGGACAACTAAGAATGTGGGCTGGCTCTTTAAATGATCTCCTGCTCCAAAAATGAACAGCAACTTGATCCTCGACTCTAACAAACACACACAGACACACACCTGCTGCGACAGTCCGGTGTAACGGGAACAGAGCTCCAGATGAACAAAGGAGCACAATAAGAAACAGCCCGAGGAGAGGAGAGAGAGGAGAGGAGAGAGGGAGATCAAAGGCAGAGGACAGGAGCAGGAGGAGAGATAAAGAAGCAACGTCTCTCCTCCAGCTGCTCGCTGCAGTCTCTGTCGCAGCCAGAGGGACTGAGCAGCAATCACAACTGACAGAGACAGCTCTCGGTGCAGGGCTGTCTTTCTCTTGAGTTCAGTCGTATATAAACATATTAGTTGGCACAGTTGCATAACATCACACACTGGCGGCATCGTGGAAGTTAAGCTGACGATCAATTGTCATACAAATGGTTGTGATTAAGAATTCAAATGTCTTTCTCTGTTCATTTTACGACTCTTTTGGTGTTAGATTAGTGGTAATAGCGCCTGTGATGGTCACATTTTTGCTCCTAATCCAACAAATCGTCTCTTATAAAGTTATTGGGCTGATTTAAACTTAAATGTTCCTACAGTGTTGTTGAAGTGTTTGACTTTACAACTAAATCAAAACGTCAATAGATGCTCGTCACAATGCAGTCAGTTGATTGCTAGAAGTTAAGGACCTCGAGACAAACACTTGTGGAAATAGTGACTGAAATAAGACATTTCTGTTCATTTCATCCAGCTGAAAATTTCTCTGTACAGTTGATTATATGATAACTACAACAGGCCTAAGTAGTGTTACTTTTTAACAATACAAAGCTAGAAAAAGTGATCAGGTTTCCAAAAGTGCCAACAGCGAACTCATTAACAACTGTGATCACGACATGTAAAATTTGGATTTCTACTTAAGAAACTGAGTCCTAACACAGAGCACTGCAAGTCCAGTCAAAGATACCTCTATAAAACTCAAAAACAAGTCAATAGAAAGGCAGCAAACACACACAAACACACACACACACACTATCTTTGTGATTGTCTGATGAAAGGAGCTGTCTGATCCTGAAAGACGGCAGGTGGGATCTGACTTGGGTCAGACAAAACAATATGCCCGAAGTGCTCGGTGTGTGTATGTGTTTGCGTGCCGACATGCTCCGATGACTCATATTCTACTGAAGTATGACACAGATGCTCAGCAGCCACCACATCCTCCCCCTCAGGTGTGCTGCTGCATTCAAGTCATTTGAGCTCATTCACTCCTATTTGACAAACTGCACATTTTAAGTAGTTAAAATGAAGTTAAATTACTTTCTAGCTTTGTTTTGCAAGGTTTTAAACTGCTCAGTATTCATTTAAGTTTAAGTTTTTACCGCTTTTCTCTTTCCAAAGTTGTTTGGAGGAGATTTTCCTCATCAGAATCTAGTGTTTAACGACAGAGGGCGTCCTGTGCTGTGCAGACTATAAAGCCTGATGAGGAAAATTTGCATTGGCCCACATAATTGAAATTGACTTGCGTTTCAGTTCAATGTTTGCTGTACGTGTGTACATACAAAATGATTCCGGGTAGTACAAGACTTTAAATCTTGGCTGAGCTGTCGAACAAACAAAACCTGAGGTGTTCACTCCCCACAGCATCGCCATGTCTTGTTTAGGACTCTGTTCAGAGCATCTTCTGCTATGACGAGGCAACAAGAAATTGGATATTTCAGTGCTTTATTCTGCACTTTCTTCAATTTCCTGTTCAGTTTTACTATGTGGGGGGAAAAAAAACACACCTTGTTAACAACATCTACATTTCAGTTTATGATTAAACATGAAAGAAGAAGACAACACCACACAAACTTTGTCTGACTCGTGGGCTTCCTGTCAAATAGAATACAATCCAGGCCTCTAGAAAAAGAACATTTTTTTTGTTGCATAAAAGCAGGGGTCGGCTGATTGTTGGCCTGACTGCTCAGCACGGCAAATAAATTATTTTAAAAATGTCCTACTGACTCTCATGCAGCTGCCACTCTCTCTGTGGGTCTTTTGTAGTCTTAAGCGATGTCCTGCTCATTGCACTAGCTGGTCACATGTCACAAGTAATAGCCTATTGACCCTAAAAATCAACGCTGTACGGTTTATGTTAATTAAACATGTATATCAATAATTCGGACAAAGTTTTGTGCTGGAGTTTGTGCTATGCTACATGCTGACACAAAGATTTTCATATTTACTTCATATTTCTATTGGTTTCACATATCGGTCCTCGGCCCCCTTGATTCCTAATAATCGGTGTTTGTATCAGTCCTGCAATAACCACATCAGTCAGCCCGCAACACAAAGATAAAATACCTACATCCTAAAGTGCATCACACTTAACTGATCTGATTTGACAAACTGTGTCAGTTTTCACTGCGTTACAACCGTCACCGCGAACCGTGCACGAACACACAGCCCCACTTGTGGTGAAAGTGTGCTTTTAAAGAATTATTATCAGTACTTAATGCAGCAACACAAAGATGCAAACAGCAGATAAGTTAAAGCACTGACAGCTGATGTAAAGAGATCTGACACAGCATGCCATTAATTACATCTTGGACTGGCACCAAGGCCGCACCCAGCAGCCAAGATGTGATGTCGAGATAACAAGTTTGGTGGCTAAGTGGTCTAAAGGGGACACGCCATTAGACCACGTCATCTGAGGTTCAAACGCAGACCAGGACCAGCTTTATCACAAAGTCCACCCCCTCCTCTATCTCTGCTGACCTTTCCCGTCTCTCAAAACTATCAGATATCTAATAAAGTGCCCCAGAATTACTGAGAAAAAGGAACGGGAAGCATTATGTAACACATTATAACTACTGTGAAAACAAAGGAGAAGAAAATGTTGTTCCCGATACAGTAACAAACTGTTGATCTTTCCGACAAGTCTCACAGTCTTTACACAGATGCCAAGAAAAACAACTTTGAGCCAAGAATGGAGGAAGCCAGTGTTACGACACACATACACACACACTCAAGATCAAAAAGCCTTCAAAAAATGCACCCAACTAACAACATTAACATTGTGTAGCTAATTATGCATACACACACATCACATACGTTCCCATGCAAACACAGAATTAATTGCAAACAGCGATTTGCAAGAACAACATTAATTTGGCCTTTAGAGGAACCTAAACCATGAAAATGGAAAAATATACAAAGAAGGCACTTGAACATTGTGGTGAGGAGGGGTCACATAGTTATGCAACAGAAACAGAGCGAGAGAACGAGTAAAAAAAACGAGATGAAAGGCAAGAGACTGGGAAGGAAAGTGAGAGACACGGAGGAGGAGTGAGAAATACAAGAAGAAGCGACTGATAAAAACACATTTGAATCCAACGATAAGCTTTATCCACACTTTTCAAATGTTCCTAAACATGAGTAGACAGTGAATAAATAAACTGAAGTTGGGTATGTTGCATCAAGTAGTTTAGAGAGTCTTTTTTTTTCTCATCGTTGCTTGTTCTCAGCTAACAGGTGTGTCAGGCAGTTTCCTCTAGTTTCTGTCATCCCTTCCTTCAATTCAGCCATCTGCATTACCAGCTTTCCTCCCTTCGCTCAGCTCTTCTGTTTCCCCTCTTTCTGTCTCTGTTTGAGTGGTCGTACTTCATGCTCTGGAGGTTTGAGATTTTGGAGCAGAGAAAAGACTTTCTGCACTCGTCATGGGTCAAACCTCACACACACAAAATTAAAGACCTCAACTTGTGGGTGAAAAACGAGAAGTGAAGGATGCAGAATATATTCAGCTTCGCACAAGCTCACGATTTGTGTCCCAGAAAGGCTTTTCTTTTTACCCCCGTCACTCGCTCAGTCTCTTGTATTTCCTTCACATGCACACTCTGACATAATATTGTTCAGAGGAAAGGTGGGCCTCGTGGAAAGCCTAAAGGAAGCACTCTCTGTTCCTTTCCTCTTCCTACCAGTGTGTGTGTGTGTTGGTGTCTGTGCCGATAGTGACCAGGCCATATCTGTGTTGTGATAGCTCTGGGCCCCGATTCCTGGAAATAGTGGATAAGAATATGAAAACAATGTGGTTTTAGGTCAGCAGCGCACATGTGCAGCCATACATACACAGGGTGAAAATCACCAGAAAGTAATATGGGCTGCCCAAAATTCATGCGAGTGTGTCATGCATGCTGTGACCTGGTATAACCTCCTGTGTAGGCTGACCTGAGGTAAACCCTGATGGCTGAATTAAATGTAGAGGAGTACAAATGCAAGTCAGAAGTCGACTAGAAGGCAGAGAGGGACCCGATGCACTCGTCTGACAAGAGTTAGATTACTATGGAAACAGCCCACACTGGTTTGTCAGAGCTTATCTGTCATGGAAAAAAGGAAACTAAAAAAAAAAAGAGAGAGAAATATATCACCATGACAACCCAGTAAAAGGAGAATGGTCTCTGCGGTGAATCGAGCGTATTGCTTGGTTTTGGTTTTTGCTAAATCCTGCTGCCTATGACGGACAATGATTTGGCAAAAATAACGCTAATACCTGTTACAAATATCTGAACATTTGCAATGTGTTTCTGAAAAGCTGCATCCCTAAAGATAGATGTGGAAACAGATCACAGTGTACTTCCCATTCCTATTACTTAAGAGAAACTTTTAGATTACGAAAATCTAACAGGTGAATATAATACGATCAGAAGAATGGAACAGCAGGAAAGCCATTATCTTTGAAGGGTATTTTTAATAATTCATTGCTGCTGGTACATCTCTTGGCTGATATATTGTAAATGTGCCTCTTGTTCACATGTGCTTTTCGCTGCTCACGCTACGCTGACGCACAATAGAGCTGTCAGTGATCACAGTGATGATAATTCAGCACCTGGTGATTTCATGTCATACTTTCATTTTTTCAAGTACTCCGTAGTCAAGCAAAGAGTTTTTTGCCCTTTCTACCTTCTAACTGTATCACTCCACAATAAGTCTGAAATGTCGCTGTTTCACACAGCTTGTCAGACTTCTGCCAGTGATTGCTTCCCTCACTTCTCTTTAACAAGATTTTGGAGTGACAAAAGCCTTAAATTGAAATGATGTTTTGGAGAGAATCTGAGAAACGCAGCGTCTTTCATAGCCAGGATTCTAAAAAGCACTATGATTTTTATACACCTACCACAGACAACATACTTTCTTACTTTTGCGTATAATTTGTCTTCAGTTCATCCTTAAATATGTATGTTTGGAAACTTTATGATCTATACCAATACTTAAGCATTTAAAAAATAATGAGGAAAAAATGGTTCTTTATTCCTCTGTAAAAATCATTTGCTGCTGGTGCAATTGCATTTTAAGAAAGAAAACTACGCATATGAAAACTCACAAGTTTACACACTATACATAATGATTTAGCACCGAGTAAAATGTAGGTTTAGTGTTCACCATTGGGTCTAGGAAAGGTCTTGAAAGTTTCTACTCACATATAACTAAGACCATGCACAATTACTTTGAAAAAAACTTATTTTATACTATACAAGATATGTAAGATTTAAGTCAATCTAAATGTAGGTAAAGGGCTTAATAAATTAAAGGTTCAGTGAACAGTGAGCTGGTAAGAGTCTAGTTAAACCCTCTTTTTTGAAGCATACCTGCTGCAACAACGCTGCATAAATATTCTTCTCAAATTTCATATAGTGGTAAAGCTGCTGTCAAATACAGTGCATTTTTTAGTTTTTCATGTTTGCAAGGAATCAAAGTAAAATTATGCACATTCTGGAAAATCCCCAAAGGCTGGGCTTCAGTCAAACTCAACAAGCTCACAAACACACACGTCGTGATGCAGGGTGAAATCAGACTGCATTTACTTCGTTTCCTGCCCTCAGGTGTACTGTAGAGCAGGATTATACAGTACAACGCTTCACTAACACCCCGCTCATTATGAGCACACACTGACTCAGCCTGCCACAGTGCTGGCAGTGCATGAGCATACACATACAAACTCCCACAAATGATTATAAGCTCCAGCCAGCAAACTGACACAGACACACATGCACGCACACACACATACACACAAGTGAACACAGACACACACGCACAGTACTTGACAGACTGCAAAAAATGTATGAGCTCACATTGCACTAAGCCATTATTAACACCCACATTAGACGAACTGGAGAACTGGTGGGTTTTTTTTTATTTAAAGTGGTCTCAATGAAGCCAAGCTCTGTGCATCTGCAATGCTAACATTAGTGGGTTTGTGTATGTGGGTGCACAGATGCCTCCTCATGTACTCAGATGATTTAAAAAAGCAGTCACGCTGAAAATGTGCGAATGTGTGTGTCTATCCTTCAAACTGACAGAAACGCCAATCATGGTGGTCGTGATGCGGGTTTACTCATATGATCCCTCACTTGAGACCATGAGTAACTCAGACCTGAAGTGTGTGTGCGCTCAAAAGTGACGAAAGTAATGACAACATTTACCACATGACGTCCATTACTCTCTACTCACATTAACCATATAGCCACAACTCGCGCTGCAGATGACTTGCTAAGAGTTCACAGAGCAACCTCATCAGTCCTGAAGACACACTGCATGACATTAATAACATTTTGTGATATCAAAGCCACAACATTACACACTCTACTAACCGCCTGGTTCCTGTCAGGTAGACGATAGTTGTGGTTCTGCAGCAGCCGACAACCGTCCTTGGCGAGCCTCTGAACGGCCTCCAGGCCCAGCCGGGTGGTTAGCTCCTCGCGGCCGCACACGCTCCCCATCCCTCCGCCGCCGCTGCCACCGCTGTCCCGCAACGCACACACCCCGCCCAGCTGCAACACAGGAGGCATGAAGACATATCTCAACCCGCAGTCCCAAGACATGGCAGAAACACTCAAAGTTCGTTTGTGGAACCGAGCTCAATGTTCTTGTCCAAAAGAAGCCAGTTTGTGCATAATCCAGAAACATGCAGTGACAAGTTTTTTGAGTTGCTCCTTTATGTCCAATGTGAGGAGAATGAGAAGAAATAGTAATCCTGGGTCTCTCTATGTTATCTTGTTATCCCTGTTCTCCTTCATCATCTCTTATTCTTTCTGTGTGAAACAGCCAGACATTCCTTTTATCGGTTGCACTTGTCTCTTTGTCTCAGTCTGACTGCTATGTGTCAGACAATCTGGCGGAGAAATAGTGAGTGTGTGTGATTAGTAGTATAAGTGGGCGGGAGTGGGTGTCTGTGTGAGAGGAGAGTGTGTTAAGGGGTGTGTGTTGTGTCTCTCTGTCTCCTCCCCTTTAGAGTTGGGACGCAGAAAAGTGTTACCATCCCGGTAATTCAACTGAGGTAGATAAAAGGTCTGTGAATAGGAATATTTAACAGTGATGTCTTTAAAGGGAAAGAGATCCTCAAAGAGCCACACAATAGATTTCATTAAAAGAGCTGGAGGATATTGGAGAAACTAACGGCTTAGTGGTGGCATAGACCTGATGACAGAAAACATTAGTGTGTGTGAGTCCTCCCTAGAGTGCCGCTAGTATGATGGTTATCACCAGTGGCGGGTCGCCTGGTCTGTTTATTTTCCTTGGAAGAGAGAAGGAGGGATGTTTCATTTGGCTCACAGTTTAGTAACCCTTCCTGTGAGCTCAACTATCCCACGGTACCATGCTCTAGCAGAGGGCAACACACACACCCATGCAGAACATCACTCATTTTGTTTACTTGGAAACCCCCTCCCCAAGTGACAACTCTTATCTGGTAGAATAGCCACGTACACACACATACAGACATTATATCACAACCAGTGTCCCGTGCCCTTCACTGCTTCCTGCAAACCCCTTTTCTGCTTCCCAATCTGGACACAGAACACTCCAAGATAAACCTGTCTGTGTGTGCTCGCATTGTGTGGCTGTCTTCGTCTATCTCCGCCTTATCTCCCATTGTATTCCTAATTTTTCTCTGATTCTTCTCATGTTTGAGCTCTATGATGAGACGCTAAAGAGTAACTAAAGGCAAATTAGACTCTTGTTTATTTTGGAGTTTGGACCTATCAACCTATCTGTCGTGATTTTTGGACCCACAGTGGTTATCAATCCTCCTCAAGGAGCTGCAGTATCAGTCTAATGTCCACTAAATCCAGCTGTGTTGAGTAGCAGGTGTAGCAATTTCCACAGCATTCATGACTGCAGCATCTCACTGGGATGTAATGGTCATGCTTGTAAATGTACATACATGCCTATATTAATTGGCAGCTGGCTTGAATCTAATTTTAATGATCCATCTCATCTGTTACTAACTTGTCTTAGTACATTAACAAGAAGGCTAGTTTAACCCTCTGAACCCCAAAACCGGTGAGCAGGTTTGAAAAGCTCAGTACATTTGAAAAACCGTCAAAGTCTCACCATTTATCTGAGCAAAAAACTGTAAAATTATTATTAAGTTTAAAATGATTCTTGAACTTATGTGTGACTATCAGTTTTGTCAGGAAAACAAACCAAATATAGGATTAAGATTGTGACATTTCACAAAATTACTCGAGGGGAATCCACAGTAGAGCAATGACTGAGCTGTGGTTCAACCCAAATGTGTTGTAACTCAATCCAGTGGATAAAAAGGGTCATAAACGCATTACTGGAATCAGATACAAGTAAAAAAACAAAACATTTAAGCTTTTAAAATATATATTTCTGTCTAATCTTTGACTACTTCTTGTAAAGAAAACAGTAGTTGCATTACCTCAGGCCTCTAAAATGATCCTTATACTACAGCTGCACTCATAGATAAATTCAAGGCCTCACAGGAAGCCATTGCCTTGTATTGACGAATGACAACATGCAAATACAGTATGTATGCTACCATATGTGTAATTGTGTTCAAAAGATTCTCTGCTGTCCCTGTCTCTCCTAATGTCTCTGGTGTCATCAGAGAATGAATAATTGATAGACATAAAGAGGTTTTGACTGTACAGAGATGGGATGAGAAAGCAAACAGACCTGCCTCTGCACAGCGTTCTGACCCCATTTTCTACATTCAGCCGTGTGTGTGTACCTCCACATACATACAACCTGCACTCAGTGACCTTTAGAAGAGAGCAAGGTAGTCAGAAGAAGACAACTATCATCTGTTTCTCTGGATGATGCCATTAATTTGTGTTTGGGTCGAGCGAGTTAAAACTGAATTAAGCGGTGTCGGCCAAATTGTATTCTTGGTGAAACAGCTTAAAAGAGTATTTACTGTGTTCAATTAAGACACTCCTCCTCATAATACTGCAACAAGAAAGCACACTCCGGAGCAACATGGACAAACAGCATCCAGTTTTTTTCAGCCTTAAAGTACTTAAAATGACACAAGATGGTGCATTACACAGCTAAAAGGCTGCTGCTGATTAAAAAATAGCATCTGCTATTAGTGTTTTGCTTTAAGAGAGATCTTTTTGATTAGTGTTCCTCTCTCCAAAGACATTAGAACAAAATATAAGCGTTATTTAATAAAAGGATTGCTCTGTTCGTAAAAAAAAAAACATTCAGTTATGAGGAGTACTTCCATCATTAGCTGGAATGGCTTCGCTAATTTTGTTGTAGGACTACATCAAGGCAAGTATAAATAATTAACTGGACTCCGTAGGCAGATAGTGAAACTTAATTGATGGATTGGGAGTGGGGGGGGTGAAGAAAATTGATTCCTACAGTGTGTGTCTGTCTGTCTATCTCTGCGAGTATTACCGGACTGCTCTCCTCACTGGGCGTACAAGGCTCCTGATGGCTCGTCTCCGTGGTCTCAGAGTCCTGCTCTGACACTGCAACCAAACAGCAACACATTACAGCCTTTCTCTCTTATTGTGGCAAAGCAAAACACTTAAACAAAAACACACCAGAAAAGCTTCACAAGAAAACACACACACTCAGAACTGTAGGATTACTTACAAGCTTTGCGAGTCTTCCGGGCGAGAGCGGCCGCCAGCTCACTTTGTACCTAATTTTATGCACAAAAATAAAAAAACGTAAATGACTAAATAAAACATACTGTGATTTCCAGTGTGTCTGCTTTAGCACTTATCTCATTAGACTATATTGTACTCTCAGATTCAGATGCACACACTGACCGTAGAAGTGAGTCTCTCGAGAGCTTTCATCTGAAGGATCTCACTGCAGATGTCCCTGTTGCCTTCAGAGTCTTCCTCTGACCTTGAAGAAACAGACAGCTTTATTTGCAGCATTACTTTAATCAAACACTTCACGGAGATAAAAGTTCCCTGCAGAGCTGTGCTCCTCTCTACACTGCCCCCTGGTACAGTAAGAACAGAACTACAGCTACACATCCAAATCTCACCCGGATATTCTTACACACTGACCTTTGCATTTTTGTCACCAATATGACACTTGAATTCCTTTTTACTAAATTGCAGTCACTTTTCTATACCCGCACTTTCCCATTTAGTAAATTCAATAAACTATTGGGAGTCTTGCTTGGATGTGATGGAACCTTAACATGGTGCTCATGAAAAGGTGGCACATCAACAACAATAGTCTCTTAGACATCAACAGAGAGACAAAAGAGGAAATGATGCAAAACAGAGAGAAATATTTGCCTAAGTGGGAAGTTTAGTGTCCATCTATGCTGAAGTTGTAAACCTTTTCACTCCTACTGCTTACCCTTGAAGTGTATATGTATACTGTTTGTAGTTATTTTGTTTTTAAATTATGTGTTTAAATGTTTCAATAAACCATCCATCCATTATCTATATACCACTTAATCCTAACTAGGATCGCAGGGGGGCCTGGAGTCTATCCCAGCTGACTTAGGGTGAAGGCAGGGGACATCCAGTCTATCACAGGGCTACACTTAGAGACAGACAACCAAGCACACTCACATTCACACCTACGGACAATTCAGAATCACCAGTTAACCTCAACTGACAGTCTGTCTTTGGACAGACTGGCGACCTGTCCAGGGTGTCCCCTGCCTTTGCCCTAAGTCGACTGGAATAGGCTCCAGCCCCCCCGCGACCCTAGTGAGGATTAAGCGGTGTATAGATAATGGATGGTTGGATGTTTTTGGACTGTGTGGGAGGAGCCGGAGAACCCGGAGAGAACCCACGCTGCACGGGGAGAACATGCAAACTTCTCGCAGAAAGATCCTGGGTGTCCTCACCGGGACATGAACCAGTGACCTTCTTGCTGCGAGGCAACGGTGCTAACCACCGAACCACCCTGTAGCCCTGTTTCAATAATAATACTAATAAACACAATAAGCTCTAAAGGAACAGCTCGGTTAAAATATGCCAAGCTTTAAAATGCTAAATATTACCTGCTTTAATGTCAGCACCTGCTGTTTTTCTCTAATTTACATTATTGTAAATCAAATGTTTCTGTGCACTGTGATCAGGCAAAAGATGCTTTTCCAGGATGCAACTTTAGTTTTCAGGAATTAATGAAGGGCATTTTTTTTTTTTAACTAAATCTGACAATTTTACTAATTAGCTGAAAACAAAACCAGCACATCATTCATTACAAACATAATAAACATACAGTAGGTGAATATAATTTGGGTTGCGAATATTTTATATCCAGCAAAGTTGTGCCTGTTTGATTTTCCCTCCCATCTGTCTCTCTAGCTCTTCGCTGCTTACAGGCTTTGTATCAAGCATCTCTCTCAGCACCCTCCTTCTCCCTTTCATGTGGTTTCATGTAAAATAGCTCCCAGACACTCCCTTCTATTGATGTTAGAGACGCTCTGTGTGTGCGGCAATGCAGTGGCTGTGTGTACATGTGTTCAGAATGTATATAGATGTGTAACTCTTGTCAAGGTTTTTCTTTTTTTCTTTCTTTCCAAGCCTGAGTGCATCTGCGAATATATTTGTATTTGACTTCACTTGTGTGTGCTGTGTAAACAGGTGGCTGTTTTGGGGGTAAACTCTGCATTATTCCCACAGCAATAACACAAGGTTGTAGAGTTTGTCTTCAGTGGCGGCAGACTTCACCCGAGGGCCCTGCGTCTAATATGTTCTCTTATAAAACCACTGTTTGGATTGGTCTCCCACACACTGCCTCCCCCCCCTGCTGCACAACATACAACACACGTACACACACTCTCTCCCCCTCAAGCATGTGTGCACACACACATACACACACAGAGCCATTTGCATACAATTTGGATTTTATCAAGAGATCCCAGTAGTACTTGTAATAGTTGTAGAGGAAAGAAGACGAAGCACTGTGCGACTATGTGTGTATGTGCATGTACGCTGTAATCTGATAAGGGAATGATAGATGCAGGCGCGGGAGAGATGGCGATAACACATAGCCCTCAGCATGACACTTCAGCTATCAGCTCTGGCACAGACAGAGAGACAGAGGCAGGTAGACCATCAGATGCCTGCAGGGAATGTAAAAATGTGATATTTTTACTGTCAGTCTTATCCTACAGCGATAAAAAGCGATTTTGTTTTCCTGTTGGTATTTATGGTCAGAATGACTAATCTCTACTCTGCTTTAAAATCAAATGACTGACTCTCAAAATTCCAACAGAGCTGGTAGAACAACAGCAAATCACCAAGTTGCTGCTCAACAAATCAACATACAGACTCTATTCTAAGCCATCACGCTAAATTTGTTCTCATCAAGGTCATTAAGGCTTTTTCTTTAGTCAGCTGGTAATTTGGTGACTCACCATGAGCCTGAATGTACCAGAGCTGGAAGAGAGGCACAGTAGGAGGTGTGTCACCAATCATTAAGCAGCACATACCAGCATCGATAGAGGATTAACAGGCCTGGTGCCTGCTACTCCTCCTTGTTCAGACCACTGCGCATGTTGCACAGAGCAGTCGTGTCCCGTGATATTTTGTGATTTACCAGAACGCATCCTTGATACAAATTCCTTAAGTAAGAAAAGGCAAACCAACCACATATGCAAATCTGGATGTTGCTAGTCTGCGAAAGAATAAAAAGCTTGTGCCACAATGCAGAGAGTTTGATTTATGGAGGAGGAGGAGGATTCATTCTCTGTAAAAATGCGTGATTGCCTGGTTGGATTCCTCTGTAGCTAAAATACTGCCTCAATATTCAGCCGAGTCTGGCTTTTTGGCTTCCAGTGCATTTCTTTTGAAATAGAGAGGACGTGGATTGTCTACGACCAGAGCACTATGCAAAGCGTGCGTTCTCTCCTCCCAAGCTAAGGTGTCATATTTTAGCTCCTGGCAATTCTGCTTCTGCTGCACAATGCTGTATTACACTGTATTTCAAACAAAGGACAACTGACAACTCAATTGTTATTGACTGACTCACCTCCTACTACACCAAACAATAAAGAGTGTACATAGACAATGTGCTCTATACATATAATATTTAGTGGGAAAAACCAGGGTGTGCAATAAATTGTGCTTTTTCCTTATTGTTAGAGAGTAAAATGCTATCAGTACTATTCTACAACCATTTTAACTTGTGATATAAAGGCAGTCAACACAACATCATGTAACCAAATACACAGTAATAGCCTGCCAGAATATGTTCCTTTATGAAGCCAACACTGTGGACTGAGAGGCTCTTGTAGCGCATTGCTTCATAACAATTCATAATATTTAGTTTAAATCCTTAATTGTATTTGTTGCAGAGCTTATTGTATTGAATTACACTAAACTGTGAATGTGTTCATGACACTGTGCTTTGTATTTTCTGCATAAATGTAGTTAAGCTAGAAGGACTGGAATCGGTGTCTCAGTTTAGTGCACTTGACGTGGTGACATTCAGAACTAAACATTAGCTACAACATAATCAGCTCACACTTTGATAATGATAAACTTGACACATCATATAAACAAATCAAGTGACTTCTGCTGCAGTTGGCAGGACATCTTCTCACAGTTAAACTTTAATGCCTTCTCATTATACATTTCTTCTGAAAAGTATAATATACTCTACGCGAGTTTTGCTCCTACTCTAACGCGAGGCGATGTGAAAGACAGAGAATGAGACAGAGAAAGACGTTTGTTTTGGGGTTTTTTTTGCCAGTAGAGCTTGTTTGTTTGGAACTGTACTGAATTTAGATGAAGATAGCAACAAAGTGAGAAAAAAAATCTTGTATAACGTTTGACTCACTCAAGGTGCAATGACGCATGAAGCTGAATTGTGAAACCTGCTTCAAACTATGAGATTTCTTGTCTAGGAATTTTCAAAAAAAAAAACATCTAGATCTATACCAGCAAGTGTTGCAGTGAAAATTAACAATGAACTGCTAAACTTTACTGACAACAAACTGTCTGGTAGCAAATCTTCAGCCCCTTTCCAGACATGCGCTCCTGTCTGTTAATCTCACGCCAACTCAGCCTGTCTCAACCGGTCTAAATAGTAAAAGTTGCAACAGCAATTTTACTAGGTCAGACCTTGTAACATTTTGGAATCACTTTCATCGCAGCACAAGTCTAAACTGCATGCGTCACATTAACAGACAGGCACAAGGTTACCTCAAGGTGTATGGAGCGGTTTGGGGAAGGCTTTGTCCAAAAACTTTACAGAGAACAAAGACACAGCGTGCATGCCAAAATGACACATTTCTCATTTACTTTGCTCTACAATATCCCATCTATTAGGCTATACACTTAAATGGTATAAAAATAAATAATGGAAAGGAGTTGAAATTCAGGTTGCTGCTTCCAGATGCTTGTAGTGAAGTTTCCTCTGAGTTTACTAAATACCTGCAGCATCAAATAGCAGCAGGATGCATACATACATCTTCCAATTGTGCTGGTAACATTAATAACTACTTAAAATCATAAATTAACCCAAATACTGAGGCAGGATAGATCGGAATCCAGCAAAACAAAAAGCCGCACTGTTGCTTCAGGTGAGCTGTCTGTTGTGCACAGAAACACAGTTTAAAATCTCAGTTATCCATTTGTTTCATAGTGACTATTCTGTTGGTAAAGTAGTAGTTAGATGACTGCCACAAAGGGGCAGAGGTTTCAGTGATTAGATATGTCCTCAATAAACTAGGCTGCTATTTTTTGGGTAAGTTATTAAGCTTGCTTCTAGTTTAGATTTAGTATTTTAGTTTATTAGTGCATCACTATGCATTGTGCATCACTCATGGACTGTCCAACCACACGTAAATGAGGTCGTATGCGTACCGTGGCTCTGTTCATCACTGGTGTGTGTGTCTAAACAAAGCTGTGACAGAATGCTGTAATAGACGAATAAAGCCAGCAACGTTATTATATCTTAAGTCTAAAAAGGGCTTTATGGCTCAGACACAGAGCTCCTTTAAAACATGCTAGCAATACTGACATGAACTGAATAACAATGACTGAAAGTAGTAAACATTTTCTGCACATGATGCAGCTGAGGTATCCCATTAATTAAATTAGCAGCATGCTCTTCTTTGGCTTCACTGAAGCAGCAATCACTACATGGTGAGCTTAATAATCAGGCAATGTAGTCTTATGTGTATTGAGTCATCAGTATCTTTAATGCTTGCCTCATTAGATAAAACAACAGTGAGAGACGGGGAACCATAATTCATGAGGAGCAGTAGCACCTGGCTGCAGATTAGGTGATAAATTCATACAGTATGTTAACTAATGCATCAAGTTTCTTAGAAGCAGCTAGGTGAGAATTATCTGGTATTTTCCCACACCGCTGCAACTTTTCTCCTTTTCAGAGAAAGGCCAAGAAGGAGGGAGAGTGTGAGACGGAGGGAGAGAGAGAGAGAGAGAGAGAGAGAGGATGCCTGCAGAGAAATGGCGCGACAGTCAAAGAAGGACACGGAAAGCAGCAGAGCCAAAGCGACGGAGTGAGAATGCCGAACGCAAAATCTAATTTGTGTCTCATCTGTTAAAGTGAAACAACTTCACCTTTCGGGTGAACAGTCAAGCGAAATCCTACAAAATACTTGAACCCAAACACAGTTTTAAATACAAACTACATCTGTATGAATTCTTGGATAACAAGTATATTTGTAAAACTCACCAGGGATGAAAGGGGTCTCAAAAGAAAGTGCTTAGAAATGTGCTAAGACGTGGTTAATGGGTAAAATATCAATAAGCTTCCAATCATTTCTTTGCCAACTTGTGGAAACCCTCTGGTGAAGAGCTTCTGCGTGCACATGTCAACCGCTATGATATATATAATGTAAGTGATGCAGAACATATAAGTGTGTACAGTATGATACATTTACATTAGCAAGTATGACACTGGATTCCTCTCGCTGTCGTGTTCGCTCCCTGGTGTCTGTAAATACACCCGCTGAAGTAGACACGCTGAAGAATGTGTTGACGTGTGCTCTTGTTCCTTCACTCTCCATATATACTCTATTTTTCGTTAAACTCTTCCCCCCCGACTACATTGCTCTCACTTTCTCTCTGTCTCTGAGTGACAGATTGAGTTCAGTAGCAGCCTCAGCAGGAACCCCGCACACAGGAGCAGCAAAGCAGGGAACTCTGGCTGACACCACTCTGCGTGTTCGCGTGTGCATGTGTGAGTGTGCGTCAGAGTCCGTCTCGCGTACGTGACAGATCGCATCATGTGACAGTTTTTGTGTATCCGAGTATTTCGTCTGTGGACGTGGAGGTGTGTGCGCCTGCAAATAAATGTGTCTCTCACGTAAGCAGATTGCGGATTTAAAACAACTGAATAGAGATTAAGTTCCTCGCTGGGATTTGAGGGAGATCTTAGACAGTGTGTGTGTATGTATGTTGCAAGCTCAGACATGTACTTGCAGAAGTGTACCACTTCCACCTAATCAAACCCAGTCACTTGTCCCTTTTCACAGTAAAATCATCAGACAGACAAATGACCTCAATCATAAATCTAAACTGGAAGCCTGTCACTTCAGCTTTGATATTTTACTAGAGCAATGAGCTGCCTCTTCAGGTCAGTGGAGATAATCTAGCGCCTCCAAACTGAGTCACATTCAACTATGATCAACATTTTGCAACAGTTTTTTGGCAGATATAATGACAGAAATCTAGTGACAACAGTGGAAACTTGTCATAAGTTATCATTGCAACAGATAAATACGACTAATAATCCGTCTATACATTCATGAATTAAGGCTGTCCCCTTTTGTTTTGAAATCCAATCTACCACTCAAACTTAAATATAAACTTACTAAAGAAAATGCATGAATGCAACAGCCTATGCTTCACGCTCCAGTAGGAGGCATTTAAAAACTGTAGCGGTGATCTCTGTTTTAATTCATTCCATACAAAAACTTAACCTCACCAGTTTTACAGTGTAACAGTTACATAGGATTAGGCTAAATGGCTTGCACTCATTTTAATTCATACTGAAAAAGTGCTCATATTCATTAGGTAAGTGACAGCCCGCCCACCCGCAAGCCTAAATTAAAAGCAATTATGATTTTTTTGTTTTTTTACATGAACTTTCTGATCGCACCTTGCATCCATCTTTCGGAGCATCTATGTAATCAGATCATTTTTAACACTTACGGGCTGTTGGCCCCACCTCCAGAGCGAAACTGGACGTATGGGGCGAGTTGTAGGAGGAGCTTAACAGCTTCTGGCCACTCCCCCTCATTGGAGCGAAAATCACAGGAGGCAGAGTCACACTCCTCGAAGCTAAACTGGTAGTAAGAGTTGGAGTCGGAAAACACCACCCGCTGGTCCACTAGAGGAGGAAGAGACAAACACAAAATAGTGAACTGTGAGGATCTGTATCTTCCTGTAAAGCACGTTGAATTGTCTAGCTGTTGAAATGTACAACGTATTAAACTGTTTGTAGTTCAAATGAATACAGTTAATTGAAGACTGATTGTTTCTCATTAACAATGCCGGATATCATTAATATACAGGTAACCCTAATGTCCCTACATTCAACTTACCAGGCACAATAAAAAAGCACAGCGTAAAACTGCCATCCAACTGACCATTTTAGAACTCAGCTGAAGAATTGCTCTCTTCTTTACCAAAGTATGTTGCGTTCTGGCATATTATTCCCCTGATACTCGTTCAAGTTTAAGGAAAAACAGGATGGTTATTGTTGCGCACAGACTACATTTTTGGAGCTACCTATATACCAGATATCTACTATGTTTCAGGGTTTTAAAAACAACCACGAGGAAGATGCGAAGAGTTGCTATTGGTCATGTTTTCAAATTGCCGTTTAAAGAAATACTGTTCCCAACGTGGTACATCACAAGGTCAAATATATTTTGTTTGGTTGAAAGTCCATTGGAGCCCACAAGGATTTCAGTCTGGACAAGCCCTGATATGAGTCAATGCCTGGAATGAATCCTTCTAATAAACACTGACAAAAAGAAATGAACACTTCTTAGTTCTAGTGAAAGAGCAGAGACACAGCGCCTACAATAAAACCTGGATCAACTCTGCATTAGTTATTGAGGATTAGCCAGACCGATGAACTGGGCAGGACTGTTCAACCTTTAAAGAAACAGCAACTGCATTTAAATGCTGTCTTTACAAAGGTGAATGATGTAAAACAATTTCTACATTATTTTTCATACCTAAGCACTGTCAGTGTGCTGTTTTTAGCTTAACAGGCTCTCAGACTGTTTAGTGAGTAGTAAATTGTTGTTGACATGGTTTTAGATGAATAATGGAGGAGGATGTTTTGGGCAGAATATATACTGAGGGGATGGTCTTGGACACACAGTCTGCTGATTCCCACTTTCAGTGTACTTTTACTTCATGGTAAATTAACCTCGGAAAGGTAATGTCAATATCTTTGCTAGACAAGATCTCGGTTAAGATCAGGTTCATGTGCTGAGCAGGTGAATGAGGCAGTAAATGGACCTCTGTCCTGTTGGAAATTACTTAGCGAATTGCTCGTATCTTTAGAGAAGTGTAGATTGTTGCTGATGTCGCTGGAAGGTAACTATAAATTTTGAAGCACGGTCCAAACTCAGGGCATGTGTGTGTGTGTGTGTGTGTGTGTGTGTAAGTGTGTGTGTTTTACCAGACAGCAGGACTCCCAGCTCCAGCAGCACCTGCCAGACACGCACAGCAGTAGTCCGACAGCGCACGTACACACACTGTTCACACAGCCACTGCACCAGCTCCACTCCCACATAGCTCCGCCTGTTAAAATACACACACACACACACATTTTCAGCACACAAGTGTAGCCACACAGCGTCATAATGCACATTCACATACACACTTCTTTCCCTGGCACAAAGCTTGTCTTTTTTATTTAATCAATATCCATTGATTATTCATTAGTTCTCTGTAAGCCTTTTCCTCTGGAACACTGAATACTTTCCGTCTGCTTTCCCCCAGGATAAACTCCTCGTGCGTGTGTGTGGTGTGCGCTTGTGTGTATGTGTGTGCAGAGACGGATAAGAGTATCTATTTATATTTGCGTCCAGATGGTTTTTGCATGCATCTGGATGTACTGTACGTACAGTATACTGCATTAAAGTGCATGTATTCCCAGACCATCTTGTGCTCCGCTAGATAACATCTACGTCCCACTTTGTTCGTCTTGCTACGTAAACAGCTCGACTGGCCAATCGGGACGGGGCTGGTGAGTCAGTGTATATGCTTCACTGGACTTATCGATTCATCCCTGCACACGGACACACAAACGGACAGAAACAAGTGTACCGTATGATTCTGGCCAGGTGTATCTTGTCTTTAGCTGGATATGGTCCGTGAGAGAGGAAGGCATTCCTCACTGCCCGACCGGCACATGGAAAACTCTGGGAGCAAGACTGAAACACACAAACATATAAAAATTTGTTACTGCTGATTTTAAAACCACAGCGCTACAAAAAAAAAAGAGTATAAATGCGACTAAAATCTGATCTCAGTAGTGGTTCTGGTATGAGTGTAAGACTGTAGAGAGCTAATGTGGCTACATGCCACTGTCATTGACCGACTCACAAGGACAGCTCGATTTCTCTCCCCCTGAGGAATGAAACATTGACTGTGTCTATGCGCTCTGCAATAATCCTGCTATTGACGCTATCGTAAATAAGACCGTATTTCAATTAAGCTGTTTACACGGGCTGCTTGTTTGGTTCTATTAATATTTTCCTTTACGTGCAATAGAGCAGAGTCCACTTAATAGCCGATGAGGCTCTACTCACATTATACATTAGACACTCTCTTCAAACTCATATCTTTTCGTCTGTAGTGCAGATTTCGGCTGCTATATATATATATATATATATGTTTGTTTTTTACACACAAGGTGAAGCATGTGTAAGCTGAACAGTCTCACATATAAATTAGATTCTTAAAAACCTCTGGTGATTTTCTATATTTTACTTCTTGTTCACAAATTCAGTGAAAGGACTAAAAACCAACCAATGAATCAACAACAAGGTATCTTCTGCCTGATGTGGCTCCTTTGTGCCACAAAGCTCCATTGCTGTCCAAAAACTCTTAAAAATACTGGTACAGTTTGGGATGTTTTTATACATGAAAAATATGGACTCTATAGCTTACTTATAAATAGTTCCACAGATTAGTAATGGAGATAATTTTAACAGTCAAAGGTCGCTGCACATGCTCAGACAGACATGGTTCTGTTTACACTTGTTGGGTCACTAATCACAACCTGCTGATTTTCTGTTTTTCTTAAGGAAATCCCAGCACTGAGATACTGCTTAGTTATCGTCCATCAGAACACAGCAGTCTATGTGTGCCTCAGTACTTGACATGCACACAATTTAAATTCCTCTTGAGACTTGGGCTCTCTAACCTTAGAACAGAATTACTCGTCATTATTGGGTCAGCAGGGTGATGCCATCAATGTCTTCAAACAAAGAGTCTGTGTTCAACCAGCCTCATAAAAACAGCCCTCAAATTTGACTTCACACAGTGTGGCCTGCCTTGATAGGCATTTTCTTCTTAAGTGTGTTGCCAATAAAACAAAATTACCTGGTCGGCAACTGGATCAAAGCTTGAATAAACAAAAACAGAGGATTTACGACTTTACCCCACGGAAACATGTGTTGCTTCAGATTTTCAAGCAGTTCTAAAAAAACTGTCAGGTGTCACATCGACTATTATCAACCAAAATGAGTCTCTGAGAACCAGTGGGCGGTGACAAATGCAGTAGCATAAACATGTTTAAGTTTAAAACTGTTAAATTACAAGAGTCATGAGATAGAAATCAGAACCAGTTTAAAACCAATCGTCACCATCAACCGAACAATTTTGCATGATTTATTGACTGCTCCAGTATTTCGCAGTTTTCAGTCAATATTTCCCAGACTTGTAGCCTGTAAACAAACTGAGGTTGTGAGATTGTATCTGGCTTAGCAGAGATCAAGTTAAGGCTCCTTTCCCCTAGCATCTCACTGCATATGTGCTCATGGTCAGGTGCGTAGTTCTGCGCTGCTTTTGGACAATGTTAGATATGGCCACTTCCATTGAGCCAAGATATAAAAGAGAATCTAATAAGATACAACCGATAAAAGAATCCAACAGTAAGGGACAAACTAAAGAGCATCTTTGTTTCTGATGTTGATTTCTTTACTTTTTGTTTCAATAGCTAAAGTCCTTGGTGCTGAAAATAAACTACTCATGTGAGATATTTAAGCCTTCAGGCCGTTTTGAGAATGCAGTACTCAAATACTTGCCAAACCACATTACAGTGATGCGTGACAAATTAAGAATCTCTTACTGTGTGTGCATAGTTGGTGAAACTAGCTTTGGAAAAAGCCCAAGGTAATATCACCACTGATATCATCTGTATTGGGGTTAAACAAACACACGCTCCACAGCAAAACCTGAGGGATGACATCACTTTTTGTGTGTGTGTGTGTTACCTTGTGTACTGCAGGTCCAGTGCTCGGTCCGGGGATTGTGTCAGGTGATTGCTGTTGAAACAAAAACACACAAAAGTCGTCAGAGCCAACACACACACAATGACACATAGAGTAAATACGCTGAACAAACATGACTCTGAGATGGGAAAGACCAGTTTTACCATTCAAAAAACATTAAGTTTTGCTTAAACTTACAGCAGTAAGAGCACAAACTTTCCAGTCACATTTAATGGTGTCATGTATGATTACATCTGTGACTGGGAAAGTGTCACCAAACCTAAAAAAAGATGGTCATTTATTTTTTATTAGAAAATATGATCTTTATCTGACCTAAACGGTTTATCAGTGATGTATAATCACCTTCATTCAAGCGCTCATTAACATGACACCAGGATAAATACATTTATTGCTTCAACTCCTTATCAATAAAGTGCAACTGCCATCCAAACTATCGTATCACAACAGCGAGACCATAATAAATCTCCTCATGGTTACTACCTTCATGCCGCCATGCTGCAGCCTTTGCCCTAGGTGTATCCACTCCACCGCTACTTCCTCTATCAGGAAATAAGCTCTTAATCTTTATGGATTATTATGGTGCCAGAGGAGCAAGATGACAGGGATGTGGCGACACACTAGTCATAAAATAGATTAAAAATGATACTAAGTGTCAGATCAAGTAGAGCAGAAACGGCACTACATGCAGACATCTGTTTTTGTTTCACTGCGGCGTATTACGGCGTGATGTAATTTACGAACAACTTGTCTCGCTTGCTCTGCTGCAGCTTCGTTTCCAAACTCTCACTGACAACCATTAGGAGATGTTTTTTGAAGATAATGGATTTTAACCTGTTTAATGACTTTTTCTCATACAATAAATAGTTGAGTGTTTCACAGCATATGACAGATTAGATATTTTAGTACATTAAAATGATAATACCAGATAAAAACCTTCTAAATCATTGGTCTGATATCATTTTTTTTAGCCAGTAGTCAATATTCTAATGTTATTTTTGCCAAGACAAATAATTACAGTGATTTAAAAAGAAAAAAAAAAAAACTTGTTTAGTTATCTACATTCTGTTAATTAGTTACTCCAACCCACACAGGAAGAGTGTTTACCCTTTGTATGCACGTTTTCTCCTCCCTCAGACTTTTATATGCTTTACTGTTTTTACAACACTTAATCACGAGACAACAAAGGTTTCATTCACAGTGACTAACTGGGAAAGACTGATGTCAAAGTGAAAAAAAAAAACAAGAACAACGATAAAGCACAGAATGACTGTTTGCCTAAATATTAACCCCCCTTATACTGACACACCTAAACTATCACTGGTCTAGCCAAGGGTTTACAGAGCATGAGTATTTAGGTAAATGAATACAGGAAGGAATAAAGTTCCCTTGTGTGTAATCAAGGTGTGGTCAGTGACTTTAGGTTAACTATGCTTCTAGGTCAAGTACTGGCTTGTGAATGTCTTATGTGAAACTAACTCATCCATATGGAGGAAATTAGGCATTTTTCAAAGCAGACATTCTGACTTGTCATGATAAGAACAGCAAAGATGTTGCTAATAACATAATGATGGCTCCATTACGCTCAAGTGTCCCAGTAAGTCACGACACTGTGACAGTGAGCCAGCGTGCACGTGTCAAAATGTCAATTCCATTTCTATTGTCAGCGGAGGGCTAACACAGATTTTGAGAGACAGTGGGTACAGAGTGCATGGAGGTCTGCCGCTGGTGCGGCAAACGTCAAAAAATCAACTGTCCAAGCACAAAGAGCAGAGTGGGAGGCCGTCAAGAGGCGTATGGATAATCTGACAGAGCTATGGCTGAAATGGGAACAATTTTTAGACGATGACGAAAGAGGTTCTATTGTGTGACGATTAAAAAAAAAATGTAGCTTATTCATTGATTTACTGAATGCTTGGTAATATCACAAAGAGGAAACGCATGCAAAAGATTGTAGAAAAACATACATCGTGGAGAAAAACCTGCCGTTTGCAAGAGAGTGTTGAATTGAATGAACATTTTAAAGCCAGACAGTATGGCTGAGATAACATACAGTACACACAGCTTTCAAAATAAAACATCAGTCTTGTCAGAGCAACACTGAGTGGACAGTTTTAAGCAGGACTTGAAATTTGCTGTTTAACCAACATTAGCTTTTGAAGAGAAGAATGTCCATGGACAATTAATAAAACAGATTAAAGCTGCTGCCAAAGACAACTTATAAAGATTTGCTTGCAACTTTAAGATTTAAAAAATACCTTTTCTGTTGATCGGATATTAAATATAAAACAAGACAGCATCAACATCAGTGGGTATTGGGTGAAAAAATATCAGACGCTTCTTTCTGCTTTGAAAACACTGTGGTAATGCTTCCCGGATAAAAAATACAAACTGTAGAGTTGCATTAGGATGACGATCACGTTCCCAGCGTTCTCATTAAAAAACAGTCAGATGAGAACCTCCTGCAATAGGAGTGCAACTAGTCTGTGAGCTCAGTCAGTGAGGCAGCACCGCCGATAGAGTTGTGGGTTTGATTCCCTCTGGAAACCTTCACAGAAACAGAGCCTGTACTGGCAATTGTTGCTGCCCGTCACCTTTCACTGAATGGTGATGTGAGGGGGAAAAAAATAAAAAAAAACACCAGATGATGACAGACGGAGAGATTCTGGGAGATCAAATGAACAAATGAAAAGCACCTAAGCAACTGTGGAAGATGGATGTAGATGAAGAAATACAAACGAGCCGAAGCGCAAGAGGAGAGAGGATGGAGGAGGGCTGAACAATTCACAACAGTCCATGAATATACGACGGTGGATGTGAGCATGACAGATGGAGAGGAAAAGAGATGAGGCAGTGAGAGACGGAGAGATCATTTTAATTATAATCGTGAAAGAAAGAAAGAGTGCGCGAGACAAAGACAGAGAGGGAGGGAAATGTTCGACTGAGGATTTGAGTAGCAAGAAAATGAAATAGAGTGCAGATTAGAGAGATGTAGAGCAGTGTGTGTGATCCTCATTAGAGCAATGATACTGTCTGGGATGTCACATGATCTCACACACACACACACACACACAAGCAAGAGAACATACAGTACACAAATCCACACACAATGATTTTTTTTTTTTATTTTTTATGGCAAGTTACTCACAGCTCATCTACTCTTCATTATAGTAATAGATTCCCATTTTGAGATATACGCGCCTTTCCTTTCCTACCGAGCGCCAGATGAGAAGATCGATACCACTCCCATGACATTAAATATGAAGCTAAGGCCAGAAGCCAGTTAGCTTAGCTTGGCACAAAAAAGACCTCAGGCTTAAAAGGGAAAGCAGCTGGCCTGGCTCTGTGCAAAGGTAACACAATCTACCCACCAGCACCTCTGAAGCTCACTACAAACATGTTTAATCCAAACAAAAATCACAGGTTTTGCCATTTCACAGATCATGCAACTAACGGTTGAATCAAGACAATGATTAACAGATTAATTTACAATGAAAATAACCGTTGCCCTCCCTCTGAAAAGCCTACACAACAACTGGTAACAGCGGGAAACATTTATCCTGGCTCCATCCAAAAATAACTAAATCCACCTACCAGCACCTCTCAAGCTCACTTCACACACGTCGTTGCATGTTGTTTGTTCTATCCAAACAAAAACCCCTGCATAACAACATTTTTTGGAATAGTTTTTCTTTGCTGGACTATTCTAGTTCTTGGCCTCTTTGAAACTATTGGGCTCTCCTTTAACGTTCGGCTTAAAATGCGCTCACAGTGAGCCGTGGCGTTTAGGAACTAAATCCATCACATTGATAACAATTAGATGCTCACCGGAATGCAGTCGATCGCACATTAGAAGTTAAGCACTTTAAGATAAACAGCTGGTGCCATTAAATCATAGCAGAAGAAGGGGACGCAAACAATGGAAAACAATGTTGGAAAAAAGTGACAGCACTAAACGTAAATTACCGCAATCAGAAAATTGTAATGATTGCGACAGGCCTAAATGTAAAAAACACCATCTGGGACTTTAGGGAACTGTGTTGGGCATTTATGAATTAGTAAAATAATCAGCTTCTTAATCTACAATGAAAAAATTTGCTGCTCCAATATAGACTGTAGAGAAAGTTGGAGCTGACGGTCTCCAAACGCAAACTTTGTCCCATTAACAACAAAATGTGGGGCTTGAGTTTCTAAAGCATCAGCTCTGAGACGCGTATTTAAAAAGGCTCAGTTTTCGTCTGTGAAAAATTCCAGCTCCATGTGGACGACGTAGATATTAGTGAAGATGAGAGCGTTTGTGCAGTGTTTGGACTGGGGGGTGAAGTAGAGCACACCAGCCAGCCAAGCACATAGACTAAATAAATTGTTTCTGACTCTCGCTATCTCTGTCTCGCTCTTTCTTTCTCTCTTTTGTCTTGGTTGCTCTATCTTATCTCTCCATCTCTTTGTCTCCTTGTCTGGTGAACACAGATCTCTCAAGAGGTCCACCACCACCACCGCCATCATCATCATCATCATCATCTCCTCCTCTCACACTCCAGACACATACCAGCACCTGAGCTGTTTCATTCATACTGTCTCACATAACAAGAGAAATTTCGGGGCTGTCTGACTCTCTTTGTCGGTGCTTCATTTTCTCCTTCAGACAAACACACACCCCCCCTTTCATAGAGTTATACGTGGCCAAAAGAGAGAAGGAAGAGAAGAGAGAGGAGAAGATGAATGAGGAGGAATGAAAGCCATAAAGCGAGAGCGCATGCTGACACGCTTATCTGTGTGATGACTTCAAAGTGTGTATACAGAGAGAGAGAGCGAGCGGGAGAGAGCGAGGTCATTATCTGCAAGAAATGGATTACTCTCAGATTAGATTGCTGAGCACAGTGAAGAGCTGTAGCACGGTATGCTTGGCAAGCCCTCTGTCACACACACAAAGACACACACACACACACACATTCACGCTAAGCTCCTGTCGACTCCTCGACACATCCGTCATACAAGGAAGTCAAAATGGAGACATCAAAGCAGCTACAGCTCAA